AGGTGAGGGCTGCATTCGGCTGATAAACGATGTTGTGATCTTGGTCAACGACAAGATTGGCAGGCTCTTCTTGCTGTTTGTTCTTAAGATGATGAAAAATATAGGCACGTCCGTGCGTTGCTGAATGCCGGATTCTGTCTTTCCAGCGTTTGATTCTGGAGACCTTAAGGCGAAATTCGTGAGTCTTGATGTTTGATGTAACCCACTGAATGGCAAAATGCACTTGCAGGAGAGTGGGCATCCGGTTCTTAACCCAAACAACAGGAGCAGACAAATCGATAAGTTGCGTCAAGGCTTTATCTGCTGTTCGCTGCGTGATGTACACATCTTGAGCCGAGCCCTCACAGCGTGAGAGACGAATGAAGAGTTCATTGAGTCGGCCTAACAAACGGGCAAGGAGGATGCCCTTCATGCTGGCAGCACAGTGGCCCTTCATCTGTTTGGGGGCAATCACCCTGGGCACAAAGGTGGGTGCTTTTCCCCTTTCGCGAGGTCCATCCCCCCATGAAGCTCCCTTAGCTACAAGTGCAGCTGTGAGGAAGTCGTTGACAACTGTCCACTTATCATCGGGCGAACTCGCAGCATCAAACTGCTGTTTGTGGGGGAGTTCCCATGAGATTTCTGTGGGTGGATCAAGTGGGTCGGTGACACCATCAAACACTAGTGGGGCAGCTTTGAGGAGATGATAACCAATCAAGTTGATAGAAGGCCAGTCAAATTCAAGCCTAATGGGTCGGTGTTGTTTGCCGAAAATTTCGAGTACTTCGGCCTTTACCAACGCGGCAAAAGCAATGTCATTGACTAGAACCGAGTCGATGGAAGTACATCCCTCACCAATCCCCGAAAAGGAGCCATCGTTACTAAACGTAAGGGGGCGAACGGCCTCACCAAAGTCATCAATGACCGCAACAGGGTCGTGCCAAGATTGGAAGGAAATGGCAGTAGCAACGGCTGGATATGACATGGGTGGGGCTTGGAGGTCCCCAGCAACGACTATAGGGATTCGGCCGAATTGCGCAACGAAAGTGAAAATGTCATTGAACAGCTCGTCATTCATGGCATGGATCTTGGGGTCTTGAGAAGCGCTAGTAGTGGCATATACTGACAAGACCAAAGCTCTTTTGCGAGGGGTGACTTGAACCCATGCCGCCACAACTCTTTTGGTCTGATAAAGTTTGGCGTATAGCCCAGTCACGTCAAGAAGGGGGTCAAAGGGCAGAACGTAGGGCGAACCGCCGGCGATCAAAGTGCCCCCGGGGGGAGTCTTTGTAGATTTTGAACCACTCCACAGACCGGGCAAAAGTTCGCCAAAGCAAGGCGTGAAGCCAACCCCTTGGAAAGTTTTGGTTGCAGTACGAACATTATTCTTACCTACCCGGGTCTCTTGCAGGCAAATCACGTCGGCGTTCCAAGACTTCCAAGAAACATCTGTCATAACAGATCCCACGTTTGCTGACACCAAAGTCATGTTGGTGGGAGGAGGTCCCTCACCTGGATAACCGAGTGTGGAGTCAAAGAGAGTAATGAACCAAACATCACATGTAGTCCAAATGCGACAAAGGAGCCCAGATGAGCCGAATCGAAACGACCCAGACGGATTCGGCACAGCAAAGGATGTTTTCTTCGCCACAAAACTGCGAGGTTGGAAGGTCCAACCGTCTGGATGGTGATCAAATTTGAATTGGGGACCAGGCAAGCTCCAACAAGAACTGAGAACTGGGCAAACGACAACGCATGAACCAAGAGACGGAGAGTCCCGAGTCGGAGAGTGAACAGCCTGGAGAAAGTCCATTAGCACATAGTCAGTCGAAATGAAGGCACATGTCGTCCTTCGGACTGAGACAGAAAGCTGGCAATTGAGAAAATTGCGAGAACCCCAAAAACAGAACCATCGGAAATGGTCTGCGAGATGGCCAAGAGACACGGTGAGGACTTGGAGAAGGCAAACAAAGAAACGGAACGAGAAAATCCAAGCACCGAACACAAGCAAAAGGCACAAATTCCAAGGCCTCACCCTGAATCCTCAGCACTGCTTGGAATGCTTCGAAGGCGGTGTCTCGCCAGTTGGTTCGCGGGCGCGCGAATTGGTGTTGGCGAGGATTTGACGAAGTGCATCTTGTATCGAGTCAAATTTGCCATCGACTCTGGTTTCAAATGTTGTCTGACGCGCCTCTATCTTGTCGAATCTCTCCTCAAGCCTTTGAATCCTGGCTTCGTCAGGCTTGGCTGAGACCGGAATGATTGCACTGGGTGGATTCCATGGCTTGATCGGATCGGAAGACCCGGAATCCTTGGATTTTCCCTTGGAGCCGCCTTTGCCACCAGGTTTGATGGACTTTTGCTGAGAGTTCTCGACCTGCTGAATGAGAATCTCGACAACCGTGTCATTGATCTGCAGTGGGAAGGACGAAACCGTGGGCTTTTGGTCTGTGGTGACGATCCAAACATGGACACCTGCTGACCGATAGGTGCGCAACGGCAACACAGGGAGGCGCAAAGCTTGGAGTGTTGACGTAACGACATGGTTTGCCCCAGTGGCCGCAGGCCATCCCGCCAGGGAGAACGTGAATTTTGGTACGACATCAATGTTTTCCGGCAGTACTCTTGGGTCTTCAGACATGAGCTGGGCGCGAGCTTTGCCGACTTTTGAAATCCACACTCTTGGCGCGATACCCCTCCGGGTGAGCACGAGTCCTGCCAGGCCTTCAGTGCCTTCGACTGTCTTGCGAGTATTGGCAAGGTCGGCAATGGTAGGGGGCCAAAACCTCGGTAAGACTGTGAGATCATCACTGTTGCGTCCTTTTTCGAGAAAGTCTCTCGTCAGAAGGTGTGTCATACCGCTAGCCTCAATCAGTGGTGTACGAACAGCATGCGGTGCTTTGAGAATGCACTGCAAGAGTGGATCTTGTTTGGTGCCACCTGGATGATGCGCGATTCGGAAACCAAAGATCACAGCCGAACTGTCAAGCTTTGGGACAACATCTCCGAGAAGCATCTTGAAAGAGGCAATAGGGTTTTCCCTGTACTTTTCAAGATCGGACTTCATGATTAATCTGCTGTCGATTTCGAGCACGATTTCGCACACAGCTCCTGTGGTGAGCTTTGCAATCGGGGTAGGCAACTTGTATTGGATGGAGCCACGAACAACGTACATCATCACCAAGCGCTTGTAGGACACCTTTGCAGAGGTATCGTCTACCGAAACTTCGAAAGGTCCTTCGATCTTGCTGCTTGGTTGTGCGAGTGGTACATTGTCATTCGCTGGCATGAGGATAGCAAGATCGTTGTTGCCAGCACATTTGATAATGTCTTGCACATGGGCCTTGGTCGCAAAGACAATACCACCACGTGCTCCACCGATCTGCAGGCGATGATTCTGCGGTAATGGCGTGCCATCTGTTCCAGTGAAAGGAGTAGGGTCACGGATCAGAAGGTCCTCCCAACGGCATTGCGCAGGCCTTGGAGTGGCTTTGAGCCATGGATCAGACTTCAACCAGGGATCCTTGCCATCAGCTGGTGCGCTCGGAGCCGGCTTGGGTGATGGCTTGGCCTTGGCGGCTTCTTCTGATTGCATAGTAACATCATCTTGTTCTTTGGCTCCTGCAGAGGTTGTCTCAATCGGGAAGCGATTCTCAGCGATCCTGATGAGGAACCATTGCCTGATGTTTGCTGCAAACTCAATCAGATGTGGATCAGCAGCTGCTGTTGTCCATGCTTCACGGGCCTCATGATGAGCTCGGTCAAATTCAGCGGCAAGCGGATGAAAACTCAGCTGTCTGCGCTGTGGAGGTTGAAGCGGTACCGTGTTGGCTGCAAGACGGTGATAGATGTTGGCAACAAGCTGATACCCGCACAAATGTTGAGGACAAATCTGATCATAAAAGTGGATCGAGATTTGGGTGTTCCTGGCACCAGTGATGTTCAACAAATGATCGACAAGCGGTTGCAACAGAATATGGCTGTCAGCAGGAAATGTGAAGGCGAAGTTCGACGAATCCTCATGTAGGTACGCTTCAGCTTGCACCCAATGTCTGTTTACCTCAATGAGCCAAATGACTTGATTGTATGCACGATAATCGGGGATGTAGTCATTGAAGAAGTGCAAGTGAGAAGCACCAATGTTCCAGGTTGACGGAGGGCAGAATAAAGTCTGCGGATTCATGGCCCTGGGCCCTTCAAGCGCTATGTCGAGCTCATCAGATGACATCCAGCCAGGGTGCTGGAGAATCTCAACCAATCGATGGCGAATGCGGTCAAGGATGGCTTGTGTGCGGTCAACTCGCACCTGAAGCGGCACAAGTGGCACCTGTTGTGGTGTAGCAGGTACATGTGGCTGAGGTGAAATCGGAGGACAGGCTGTGTGAAGTGCGATCTGCTGACACGGTCGTCCTTGAGATTCTCGCCTGGCAAGATAGCACAAGAAATTCTTTCTGAGTGTGAAAGCGAGTTGTCCAATCTCAACAGAAATCTGTGCCAAAGCCCAATCTTCACACGAGCATTGCATGGCGATCTGAATCAAATCGTTGTATTCAGCAGAGAGTGTGAAGTGGGTGGAAATATCGGCAATGCCCTGATGTATTCCATGCCTTCTGTACCATCGGAACAAAAGATTCCACCCGCAAATGTGCGGTGATGGGTGGTTTGCCTCTGTGCGGACATGAAATCGATGTGGCGCTATGTCAAGCAATCTCGCTACCAGGAAAGTCAATGCCGTCTGGACCTCGGCTGGAACCTGGATGAAAGTCACCTGTGTATCAGATCCATTGCGATAAATTTCGACTCCTGCCCAATGACTGCCAATCAACACAGGAATAGCAGTGGTGGTGTTGTTCAGGATTTGCAATTCACCAAACACAGGGTCTTCAAAATCACCTTTTGTCACATCCCACAACTGCGGAGTGCCAAAGCGAAGCCAGTCTTGCTGCCATTGTAAAGCTTGGGTGTAATGGAACATCTCGTCCGTCGCTACCCATCCATGGGTATCACAGAGAAATTCAACTCTAGCAGTGAAGTCGGCAAAAGCTGGCAGTGCCGGCGGCGCGGTGAGGTTGAGGTGGTGGCCCCCCCGCTCTGGTGACGTTTTTGTGGCACATGTCCAGGATGTCTCCATTCTGGAAACGGAGCTGATCTCGTGGAGCAGGGTGTCCATTGACTGCGTGGAGCTGAAGGTGCGAACCAGTGCAGAAGAGCTGACTATAAATCTGCTTCACCTGGGAAGGAATTCTGGCTCCTCCGACGAACTGCTCGCCAAATCGAAGAATAACTTCGACGGAACTTGAGTCCAGCGTGTCACACTTATCTGAGATCAACAAATATGCATTCATCTCTCCAGGAATGGAAATAAATCGTTTGTTGCGATGTCTGAAGATCGGGAGGTTGGCTACTTGCTGCAAGGTTGCAACACGTTCAACACTTGGAACAAGAGTGGTCAACCCAATGTTCTCGGGCAATACGATGACTGAAGCTGAAGCCTCACGCCCATTCTCGTCGTCTTGCAGTGTTTCGACGACACTCTGAATGGCCCAGAAAACATCTGATGCAGCCTGTGTGTCAAAATCGTGCAGCGTGAAGGGGATGTGAGCATCTTGTAGGCGTCCATCGGATGGATCTTCGATGACCTTAGTTCGAGCGGCAGTGCAGTTCACAGGATTGATTTTGCATTCGCCAACAGTGGCATGGCCTAGCACAAGTCGAAATGACCGCTCTTGATTGGCGATCTGCTCGAAAGTGGACGAATGCAGGATTTTGATGTCCTCGTTCCTCCCATTGATTTGGTGGAGGATTGCACTTGGGCCGTCAAGGCTTGCTCGAAAGGCATCACGAATGGTTTGCTGTGGGCTCACCTGGAAAGAGAACTGGCGCCCTACGCAGGTTCCTGTCAAATTCCAGGTACACTTGGAGCTTTCCGAAAGGGCAGCGTCCGAGATCTTGACCCATTCCCAAAAGGAGCTGACAGGAACCATGTGAACAAATCCTTCATGGGCAAAGAGGATAGCATTGCACGCAGTAAGGCGGTCGGACCATGCCTTTCGAACGAGACCGATCGGATCGACTTGGCAAGCACTGGTAGCATGCAAAACGATTGAGAGAGCTAGGATACTGTGCGGCACGGTGATCGCATTGCCGACAAAAAGGAAGGATTCTCCAATCTTTTCCGAGAGGATGACCGATTCGGTGGCTCCAAACAACGAGCAGTACATTGCCGGATCAAAGAAACAAAAACCCTCTGAGGTCTCGTTCAAACATGCGAATATGCCTTTCTGCTCAAGATGTCCTTCAGCAAGTAAATGCTGGCGAGAATATGAGGCGCAAAGTGTCGGCAAGATCTCTGACGGATCAGGCACTCTGGATCGAATGACCTCCTTGTTCTGCAAGTTCTTGTTCTCGTACCTGGGCCGCTTGGCAGGAGGAAGAAATCGAACCGAGTCATAGACAGCACACTCAGATGGGGATAGCTTTAGCTGCGAAGTCCATCGATCTGGCAAGACAAACTGACATGCTTGGTCTGTCCAGTGTGAATGCGGTATGTTCGGCGATTTCAGTTGGAACGGTAACAGTTGTGTTGCCGCATCTGCACGAATCCACACTCCTAGCCATCGTGACCTTGCATGTGCCGCGATGGGATGGAATGGAGTCACCTGGTCCCAAACGAGTCTATAGCCCAGGGCATGTGCGAGGGCTTTGACAATCTTAAAATGGTGGTGGCTGACGATGTCATCAGCACACTCGGCCGCAATGGCCACCATCTGCAGAGAAAATGCGAGCGACAGCGCTTCCAAGAACGCAAAGCCGTTCTGGTCTTGCAGGCCTCCTCTTTTTCCTCCTTTGCTCCAACTTTGACAAGGCGGAGAAATTGATCCAAGCAAATTCACCTGGGTGCGACAAAGGTCCACGATTGTAAAGTCGGAAACACTGCCACAATACCCAGCTGCCTTGGCAGGGGTCCATGCGATGTTCTTCGTGCCCTGCAGGTGTTGGAAAGGAGTCCCAAATTTGAGGGACCAGACCTCCATGACCCTCGGATCTTGGTCCAGGAAAATCTCTTGTCCTACACAAATTGATTGCTCCTGTTTGTCGAGCCATTTCAAGGCTTGATGCCATCCTCCAAATGCTCCACTAAAAAGGTGAACTGCGTCCCACGGCATGGAAAGAGCAACCTCAGGGCGGAAGCATATTCTTGCATTCTTCAATGAAATGGCTGCGGAATCGGTGGAAAGAACTCGTTCTCCAGTGCACACAAGCTGGATCCCTCTGGCGAGATGGATGTGTCTAGCACATACACCATCCATGTAGATGCGAAAGTCCTGCTTGTCTCCATGGGGTTGGAAGCCAATCCCGGGCACATACCAGAGTGCTTCGATCTCCAGCCAATCGTTGCAAAATGACAAGAGGTTACCTGCCATGACTGTTCTAGCTCCAACCGTAGGCATGAAGCCAGGAGTCAAACCGGAAAACATCATCCGGACATCTTTCCTCAAAGGGTCCTGGTCCAGGTGGCTCAGAAGGAGCTCCAGCTCGTCCATGGCAAAAGAGCACAGGCGAAGCAAGTGAACCTCTTGTCACCTGAAAAGGGCTGACCTTCCCGAGGGAAGGTCTAATTGACACCCCCTCCAACCCTCGCGGGTCGGCGAAGGGCCACAGGCGGCCCGGCGCCTCAGCCTTCGAGCTTTGAGCCCCGTGGCTGCATTACTACCAGTAACAAGAAGTTAGTAGGAACAAGAAGCTACTAGGACCGACAACTGTTCGACTTTCGCAAAAAGTTCGGAGACGCAAAAAGTTCGGAGAGCAAGTAGATCCAGCGCACACATGTAGCAACCACAGTGGATTTAGGAGGGCTGTTGTTTGGCGGCTGGTTTCGCCGAGGATTTGACGAAAAGCATGAGCAGCTAGTTTGCAAGAGTGGAAGTAAGCCAGAAGAAGATTTCTCACTCTAGCCCCCACAGTGCTCAAGTCCCAAGATGCTGGACAAGCCTGATCAGAGCTTTGGCTGTCCTGGTAATCAGTCAGGTTCATTCGGAGGTGTGATCTGCGTATATCATGTCATGTAGTCTATATTGAATTGAAAAACCACAGGCTCCACATTGTTTTTAAGTTACTACTACTCACGTGGGCTGTTTCTTGACCATTCAGTGCTTATCATGTAATTGGCGCCTGGAGAAGTGACCAAGGTTATTGCAAGAAGTACGATGGAGTCGCTTGCTTTGAAATGATTTGGCAGGTGTTTGCTGTTCATTCACGTCGCATTACCCCTTGTGTCACGGACTTGCTTGACCCTTGTCGAAGCACATTGGCCGCAATGTGGCCAACAACATGCACTTAGTCACTAGAGTCTAACTAGAGTCACTAGAGAGTTTGGAAGACTGTGATGTTGAAATGAATCAGGCACTACCGGGGTGCGGCCAAAGAAGAAGATCCCACCCAAGATGTTGCTGTAGTGATTTGTAAACTTGTAGGAGGCGGCACAAACGTGATCAATTGTGTACTGTCATTGGGGTCACGACTTTGTGAGCTTTTGCCGCACATGCTTTGAGGTCTATTATGTGGTGCTTTGCAGGGCTGTGGCTTGTCTTCAGTGGAAACTGTGCCACTGACCTTCGTTGAGTTGCACTGATTCCGATTGACTTGGTTAGTGTTTAGTGCCTTAAGACGCTGATTGTGCCTTTGGAAGCCCCGGGTGAAAACCGTTTGACAATACCCAACCTGGAGGTATGTGGTCACTTGCACTACACCGAGCAGGACCACGATGTTACAGCACACGAGCAGGCTCAGGAAGAGAAGAAGCTTGTGACAAGTGTTTTAAGTCACAGCTATCCCCTTTGCCTTGGCCGCGTGGTTCCTTGCAGATCAGTGTAGCAACCTGTGAAGCTCATAGGCCCTTGTTGCTGAGGAAGACTTGCATTCTGGCCAATCCGAACAAGCTCGGGCCAAGAGAGTACATCCTTTTCGATGCTTCGCAAGTGTGCCCAAGCAGAATGGCGTTCCATGATGTTCCATGGGCAAAAGGTGCTTTTGAGCAATATGTTTGGTGTTCAGAGCTGACGGGAAGAACATTCAACGACAAAGGCGGAAAAAACATACTTAAGAAAAAACAACAGACAATGTTGAGAGATGTGTCTTGTTCATGTTGTTGTTCATCGCTTTGCTTTCCTGGAAACCAGCCGTGCAGAGTCAGCCCATTGGCTCAAACTGGGAGGTTTCGGGCCAAAAAACCCGTAGCACCGGGGATGCCAAGACCGCTGCCGAGCGGTGAAAATGGCAAGTGTGAAGGGCTTGGAGATGCTGATGATCCCAATGAGCCCGACAGAGAAGACTTCAAGCAGCTGATCTCCCAGTTAGTGGCGGTTTATGACAAAGTGAGGTTGGAGAAGGATGCCAAGATCAGTGAGTTGGCAGCGTTGAAGCTGGAAGTGTCGCAACTTCGCGGTGATGGCAGCTCAGAGATCCAGAAGGTGATGCCACTTCGGCCTCCCAAGAAGGTTAGTATACTTCAAGAAGACTCGCATGAGCCTGATCAATCATTTCATGAGCCAAATTCAGCTCCAGATCCTCCTCCTTTTGCTTTGGCTGACAGATTCTCGCAAGCCTCTGCTGCCGAATCTGGTGAGGACACCAAGCTTGAGATTCGGCCAACTTGGCTTGAGAAGCCCAAGAATGCGGGCGCAGCTGCCAAGAGAGCATCAACACTGGACTTGGATGAACTTACTGAGTCCAGTGACGAAGGACCTCCATGCTGCTGTCCCTTTCCAGTTTGTCATCCTTCAGCAGGTTTGCGAGTCCTGTGGGATATTTGCGGCGCACTTCTCATTGCATATGATGCAGTGTACTTGCCTTTTGATGCCGCATTTCGACCCGCCCCCAGTGTCTTTACGGTCGGCATGGAATGGCTCACCATGGTGTTTTGGACTCTGGACATAGGATTGGGCTTCACCACAGGCTATGTGAGTAAGGGTGAATTGATCATGAATCCTTGGCGCATTGCATTTCATTACATCACCACTTGGTTTCTGATTGATGCCGCTGTGGTGAGCCTTGATTGGTTCAGCACGTTGCAGTCTGAGACCTCCGATGTGGGCGGCTTCGGCCGCATCTTCCGATCCCTCCGAACGGTTCGCATGCTGCGCTTGCTGCGGCTTTGGAAATTGAAGCGCATCCTGGCCGAGATGCAAGATATGATCGACTCAGAGTATGTGTACACTTTAGCCAGCTTGGGGAAGTTGATGGGCTTCATTCTGATTACCAATCATTTGATTGCATGTGGCTGGTTCAGCATTGGTCTTGCGATGAAGGAGGCAGGAGAAGCTAGTTGGGTTGCAGACCACGACATGATCAACAAAGATATTAGCTGGCAATACACCACCAGCTTGCACTGGACATTGACCCAGTTTACCCCAGCTTCCATGGAAGTGTTCCCCGCGAACGTGGCTGAGCGCACCATGGCTGTGGTTGTTCTAATCTTCTCCTTGGTGGCATTCAGCTCCTTCCTGGCCAGCATTTCGGCCTCTATGACGGCCTTGAGAAACATGAACCAAGAGACCACCAAGCAGTTCTGGATTTTGCGGCGCTTCCTCAAGCAAGAGAAGGCGGGAGTATGCAGGAGGTCTTGAGACACAGGGTTCACATATGTTTACAATTGTTTTTTTCATTTATGTACATAATTAATATTGTATCAATTAATCATCTCTCTATGCTGAAGTCGAGCCCCTGTATATAAAAGCATTTGTGTCCATAGTTGTGCCCTGAGGTAGCAAAGCCAGTAGCCGGAAAGGTCTTGAAGTACATCGAACATTCCCATGCCCAGCAGACAGATCGGATACAGCTTCAGAATGTGAAATTGCTCTTCATGCTTTCCTTGGGGCTGCGAGAGGAGCTTAATTATGAGCTGACATATGTGAAGATGGTTCTTCATCCCTTGATTCAGATCCTGGTGAAGGAACAGGAAGTCTTCATGATCAAGGTTTGCTCAGATGGCACTTCTGCACGAACCCTTGCAGCGACTGAGGTGCTGTTCTATACACATGAAGTGGCCCAACAAATGTATTTCATGGTGCATGGCGATTTGGCATATGTCCAAGCGAATCACAACCTTCTTTCTCCAGCCCTGAGCAACGGTGAGGCTTTGTCTGAAGCAGCGCTATGGGTACTTTGGACACATACTGGGACCGCCCATGCCCAGGTCAAGACAGAGATGCTGGCCATGGACTCCTTGACATTTGCTCAGATTGCAGCAAAGTACCTGCCCACTTGGAAAATGTGTGCCAAATTTGCAACCACCTTTCTAGAAGCCTTCAGAGAAGCCGGCCCCTCCGACGTATTCCGGCAGCAGGACCTTTATGAGGATGCTGTTCAGTCGATGTTCGAACGAGCAAGGAATCGTTTGTCATACTCAAGGGTTACGTCCTCACGTGCCACTATGGTGCGATGGTCCATGCCAAGGAGGACGGTCGCACTACCCCAAGCAGAGGCCATTCCTGAGGAAGACTCTGAAAGTGAACAAGATGAATCGAAGGAAACAGACTCGAAGGACAATTGAATGCAAAGAAGCGCCCGAAGCGCACCGTGCGACCGGACGTCAGTTCTGGTGATTCTGGTCGCCCCAAAAAAGATGGTGGCACACTATGGGGCGCTTTTTGCCAAGGTGCTCGCAAGGAGAGTGGACATGTATTCACAGCCCATACCCGAACCCCAAAAAACATGTATGTGTGTGTGTTTGGGTGCTGGTTCTCCCGTGCGTAAATGTTTTTGAGACAGAACCTTCGAGCACAGCCGGCATGGCTGACGTGTTTCACTTCCTCAAGCTAAGACCGTCCCAAAGGACAGTGTCGTGAAACCGTGCGTGGCCGCATTCTGGAAGCTATGAGTAGCTTCTTGTTACTAGTAGCGATGGCCTCCAATCTAATAGCCATGGCCTCCACCTAGTAGCGCATGATGCTAGAAGTGGCTGCTAGTCAATTTTACTTTTGCTTGGACTCAATCTCTTGTTTCAAATCTCAAGCCTTTGGCAAGGGATGGCGATGGGGCCCATGTTATTGGTCAATCACACCCTGTCCTCAGGTACCCAGAGTACATTCTGGAGTTGAAATTCTGATCGCTGCCCGGCAGAAACCTTTCAGAGTTAGAGCTGATGTCCAGAACTTTGCCCCGCTTGGCGCTACAGGTGTCTAGCTAAATGGACGCCGCGAGGAACTCCTCTTTTGCTCACACATGATGGATCCCTCCAACTTAATTACGCACTTGCTTCATCGGAGCACGAATAACTTCCTGCAAAGGTTTGCATCAAAAACAAGACGAGCCGCTCTCAGCATGTTGCAGAAGGGGGTCATCCATGGTCTTCCCATGTCTTCTCGAATGCCTCACTATCCCAGACAGCTTATTCTGCTCGGTGGGCCCTCCATCCATCTATATATATATATATGATATATGTATATATATTCTTCAAGTGCTCAAGGCAGTGTCAAGAAAATGTGCTGCTATCTACTTTGCAGCTGCTTCAGTTCCTGGCCCTGAAGGCTTCTACTCTCCGAAGAGGGGCATCTCTCAAGTGTTGTTGATTGCGCTCATCCTAGACGATGTGCAAGAATGATCTGTGAAGCAGCCTTCAAAACAGCACAGCCATGATGGACTCAGTGATTCTTGTCTTGAATCGCTTGAAAGGCATGATGTAAGATTCGAGCTGGATAGTGGAGGTGTTGCTTGTTGCGGCTAGATCTATGTCCATAGGTCTTAGCTGCAAAGAAAAGGCCACTTGCAGGTAGTGACTCAGTGCAGGACTTTGGCACCTTAAAGGGGCTTGTTTTTGCCAAAGGCAAATGAAACTTTGCCCTGAAGTTTTTTGCCTTGCATCCTGCAGGCAGCTAATTGTTTGCTTTCTGTGAAGCTCAACACCCCAGACGAGGCAAGATCTTCAGAAGTTAAACTTGGGCCTTGGATTCTGTATTTGACGTGTTCTTGTATTTCGTTGCCGGAACTCTGGAAGATTGCTTATGTGGACTCATCAGCGAGTGAGTCAGACACTGCAATGCATTTGACACCTTGGTGCGATGGAAAGAGGCGCTTCACATGGTTTTGGACAGCTTGTCAGAGAGCTTGAAATGTGGCCGTTTGTGGCCTTTGCTCATACCGCTGAATCACTGAGTTTAACACAGCTGCAGGTGACAAGTGTGCCTTGACTCTGGTTCAGGGGAATGCTTCAGCAAACCTGAGGGTCGTGAAGAGCCTGTTCCTAGTTCAAATAATGGCCGAGACCTTGTGTGAACATGTGGGAACTATGCAGCCTTGATTGGCACATTTTACTGTGTGTGTGAGTTCACTTGACCGAAAGTCCGCATGCATGTCCCAACCTACACTTCTAAAAGATGCATGCATGTACTGTTTGTGTAGAGCTGTTCCATTTGCTCTTCAGCCATGGCCTCTGAAGTGGATATCGTCGTCGTAGGTGGTGGTGTTGCTGGTTTGGCGGCTGCAGCATCTCGTCACAGCTTATCAGGGTTCTCCTGATCTCCGTGGTGTTTGAGTACTCTTTTGTTCTTTCAGTGCGACTTGTGGGGCTGACAGAACTGACTCCATGAGACTGAAGAAGGTGGCGGAAAGGGATCGTCGAGCCCTGCTGCTCAACAGACGAGAGGGAGGGGGTTGCAAGCTCCAACTTGTGAATCGAATCGGCAACGTGAAACTCATGGATTTCGGAGATGTTTTCAACAATGGTTCGCAGAAAACAGATGGAAACAGACTGCAATTTCCACTAAGGTGACTTTGGCCAAAAAGAAACTGAAAGTCATGCTTCTCGAGAGTCGCTCTATTCTTGGGGGTCGGGCGCGAAGCTGGACAGATGGAGTCACACGCGATCCTGTCCACATTGGCCCGCACGTGGTGGTCTCGGAGTACCCAAACTTCTTTAAGCTTTTGGAAGAGCTAGGCACAAGGGAAAAGACTCTTGAACTCTCCTTGAACGTTTTTGTTTATCATTGGTATATAATTGGTGCATGTATGGTCATTACTGCAGGTATATATGGGTATAGTATAGGCGGTAATGACCCAGATGGTTCATTTTGTGGACATGTTGACCCGAATTTGAGGATCGTCTGGCAGCCGTGGCGTCACTTTGTGACCATGGTGAAAGGAAGGCAGGAGCATCACATCCGGACGATGCCGTTGCCTGCTCCAGCGTCGTGGGGCCATGCCTCCATGACGGATCCTTTTGTGAGCTGGGCCGACAAGCATTCCACAGTGCCAGCGGCAGTGTATTGCTTGAGCCTCTCAGAGAAGGAGTTGCTCGAATTAGACGCTTGATTTCACTACAATATACTTTCGTCGAAGTGACATTTAGGGTTGTCAGGTGAGAATGCATGCAACTGTTTCAATCAAATACGTACGTATTGGGGGTGAGCAGCTTCCTTGCTTGTCAGTGAGGACGACGAGTCTGGGGCCGATTTTTTGCGCAGCTTGGGGGTCACAGAGCCTTACATCACGCATTTCTGGGGATTCTTGTCTCATGCCATTTTGAACGTGCCTGTGGAGGACTGCGGGCAGGTTGGGTTGTGGTTCTGGTATCGTGTGATATGCGGTCATCGTGGTGCCCACAGCCCGTGCGCCCAACACTTTGGCCATCCCAACACTTTGGCTCAGTCACTCATCCAGCCGCCAGGTGTAATTGATCCTGCCAATAGTTAAAAAACACTCGAGCCCACCTGCCCACAGGAAGTATATAGGCTACGCCCAAGCCATGCAGGTAAAGGTTGCCAGTATTGCGGGCACATTGTCAACATCGTCGAGTACAACTGAAATGAACCAACGCATTGAAGAGGGTTGATCCGTCTCAGATGGCATCTCAAGGTTCTCTTCAGAAAGGGCAGATGTATTATTGACGATTTTGGACCACTAGGGGGCTTCGAAAGGGTCATGAATGAACTGAGATCATCTTCATTGCCGCGCATCACCACGCCAATTTGCACGAATGATTGTAACATTATTCTTATTTTTCCAAGTATATATGCAGTATGTCCTTGTTTTGTTATGTTCCTTTTAACTTTTGTAGTCCAGGAAGGGGTTAGGCCGTCTTAGTAGCTACTAGCAGTTACTAAGAAGCTTAAGTAGCTACTCGTAGCTGGGACACAGAACGGCGGGGCCCTTCCTTAAAGAATGAGCCAGATATTGATGTGGGTCTTGAATTAGAGGGGAAACTTAGGGCTTCATTATGGTATATCATATGCTCCTTATATATAACTTATAGTTATGTCTATGTGATCTATGTGTGTGTGTGCGTGTGTGTTCATGTTCTGTCCATGGCGATTTCTGCCCCTAGTCCTTGGCTTGGAGGAAGTCTCTGCTGCCGCTCTGGTGCGTTTCTTTCGACGCTTGGTGGGAAGGTCCTCCATGGAGATGGGCTTTGCAGGCTGTGGCTTGGGCGAGCTGCTTCTTCCAGCAAAGCCATTGCTGGAATCCATGGGTGCTCAGGTCCGCACCAGCTGCCAAGTGCGAGGCTTCTTAGGTGGATGGGTTTTTAATCAAACGAGTTTGGGGAACCATTCAGGAAGCAACGAGAGAGAGAGAGAGAGATCTACAATCCCAGGTTTAGTTTCAATATGTTTCTATGGTGAGGATAGCGATGCAGACACCTCCTGCGCAACTGGACACGATTTGGTCATTCTCCACTGAGTAGGTGGTTGTTTAATGCTCTTTACCTTTCTCCCTTTGACGCCCTCTCACCCTGAGGAGATGAAAATAACTGCACTGGAGTTGTGTTGGATTCAGGCGAAGAGATTCTAGCCAAACTCGGTGTGATTAGCACCTTACCTCCACAAACCCTGCAGCCGATGCTGCCAGAAGCATGGCTCTCAGCCTGGCCATCTCTAAAGGATATGGAGGCACTGAAGCCCTGCAAATACATCTCAGTGTATATTTGGTTTGACCGCAAGGTTTCAGGAGGTAGACAAATGTGGGCCAGAACCTACAACAAGGACGACCTGAACTGTGAGTTCTACGACTTCTCTGAAATATACTCAGGCACTGACGCAGCTGGTAAGCTCTGGAAGGAGCGTCCGTCCTTCATTGGCTCGAACATCATTGACTCCGGAAGGTTGCAGGAGATGACCGATGACGAAGTGGTTCAGCAAACCCTGCGTGAAATCCAGGAGACTTTCCCCGTTGCCTCAGACGCCAAGGTCCTCCATAGTGTCGTGAACCGAATCCCCATGGCTATCCATCGGCCAGTGGTAGGCACTGAGAAGCTCCGACCAAGTCAACAAACACCCATCGCGGACTTCTACATCTCTGGCTGCTGGACACGTACGGACTTCCCCTGCTCCATGGAATCCGCGGCACGAAGTGGCTTTCTCGCCGCAGACAAGTTACTGCGAATAGGTCGCGGGGAATTGAGTGAGCCATGGGCTTAGCCGAACTTGTTGTAGCTGGCTCAACTTGACCCTACTTCCTCAATTTGTACCACCAAATAAATCACCAATTCGACAGGATTGATCACCCTGTTCTTCAGTGCAGCTGCTGGTTGATTTCTAGATTCGCTCAGGTCTGCGATTCCATACCCTGACATTGCACTTTCTGCACGGCTGGTTGGAGCTTTGGAAGTTGTGCGGCCATGGCTTTTGACACCACTCTTCAATTGGCTAGCCCGGAGCCCAGTGAGCGCATGAGACGGATGGCCCATCTTCGATTGTGGTGTGAGCATCTTCCAACTCGTGCGTTTGCTTGCTTCTTCAGGCTGAGTTGTGTTGGGTCCCACTTTCTCATACGTTCTTGGGGTTGTAGGACCGAGCGCCACCTCAGGTCCGTTGGAGCAGTGGACAGCCACAAAGCAAGCTTTGATGTCTAAGCTTGTTGGGTCACTGACCTAGAGCCTGAGTTTGGGCCAGAATCGACCTCAAGCTATTGCAGTACAGAAACATGTATGCTAGAGGAGCTATGAACTCAAGGGCCTGCTGGGCAATTGAGTGTTTAGTATACGGACTGCGTAGTGTGGAGAAAGGCTGTGTATGTTGTTGGCAGCTCCAGACCTGAACCTGTGCTACTAGTAGCTTCTTGTTCCTAGTAGCGATGGCTTCCAACCTACTTGCGCTGGCCTCCACCTAATAGCGTCCTTGTTACAAGACAATTGGAGCGGGGCCTGCGAACTGTGAAATGATGAGTTTAACGGTTTACCATAGCAGGTGGTGCGTCCCTCGCTCCGGATACCACTCTCAGAGGACACATGTCAGGGAAGTGAAGTGAACTTAATCTCGTCATGATGTCCCTGCTGTTGTCAATCCTGCAATATTGTGATATATTGTGAAGAATCCAGTTGTTTGGGCAGATTTGTGTGCAAAATGTCAAGGTTGGCAAGTACTGCTTGCAGTCAGAAGGAACCACCAAACAAGTGATGATCCTCTGATGGCAGAGGAACGGCACACTTCAGAACCAAAGGAGTGGTGGCAGGCGCTAGTCAAGTGATGGACATGTTCAGAGTTTTATCATGTTAACACGTTTCCCAAACTAAAGTGACAAACACAGATGATAGCGGTAGTGGTGTAGTAATTATTGCGTTTGTTTGTTCTTATGCCATGAGAGTGAAGCATTCTGTGTTAGCATTTGAAGAACTACACAGCGGCATACACTTGAAGAAATGACTTTGTTTCTGGTCAGTGGAGAGTATTATATATCCACATAAAGTAAGTCGAACAGTGTTGACAGATCCAACTTGAGTAAACTCCAGATAGGTATGCGTTCATTCAACCTGTTCAGACTTGCATTTTGATGTTTCTGGTCTTAGATAGGATGTTTGCCCAAAGTTGTCTTTCATGTTCCACTTTGGGCGAGTCTTTTCGTGATGTCAGCCTACCCCTCCCCCAAACTGACATCGTCTTACCTGTGAGGGAAAATGCGCCAGCCCAGCATTGGAACATAACAAAGTTCGTGCAACAGGCATTGGACGGGTTGTTCAGGTGATTGCGGAAACCCGCGCCTGGCGACAAAAGCAACGTGCTCAGCAAGGCTCTGCATGGCGGGTTGAGATAAATCAAGCAAGTTGAACCAAAACCATAGTACCAAGAGCGATGGCCTCCACCCTAGGAGCGATGGCCTCCAACCTATGCCTTTAACCAATGGCCTTTTTACCGAACCAAGAAAAGCCTTCCTCAAAACGCTAAAGACAGCTTAAATACCTTACTGGATGTACTACCTGCTTGACTCAAAAAGGTGATGCTACTACTGAGCAGGATTATTTCAAATGCAACTAGGTCAGGCCGGTCAGGCTTCATTGCGTCTCTCTTAAGCCAGATGACCAATCCGAATGATCCATGGCGTCCAGGCTGGTCCCAAGATGTTTCTATCGATGGCTGAGTTGCCTCGAGGCCGTTTCACTTGGCGTCCGATTCACAGGCGTGGAGGAGGCCGCTAGGCCGCTAGGTTTTCTTTCATGCCCCTGAATTCAAGATGAGTATTGCTCTCCTTTCTTTTGAAAGCGGGCCGCCAAGTACGTGCAAGACTCCATGACCCTGGGCCACATTGACCCAAAGCACTGATTTAGGTAGCTAAGCTAGCACCGTCAGAAACGCAGGGTTGGAGCAGCATGCAGATTATTGTTTGACGCTTGCAAATGCATGCTCAAACACACTTTCCTCAAGACTACCAGATCTTGACAAGCTTGCAAAGGAAAGATTCGCCAATGAGTCCTTTGCCACAGTCAGACACAGGGCTGGCTGGAATTCGATCAACGCTGTGAAAGGCACGCCTCCGCAGGCAAAAAGCGAGTGCAGTGCATGTTCGCATAGTGCCTATGGTGTGCTTGGCACGTATGTTTACAAGCAGGACGGTCTGAGAAACCATGACTGGTCAGAGAATATGACTTGTTGGACTGTCAATGGACATATGCTCGGCAGATTTCCAGCGTATCGGTTCATGTTTAAGGCTCCCAAACTCAAATGCAAACAGCCAGCAAGGAAGAAAGAAACCAAGACAAGCTCAACAAATTTGAAAAGGTCTAGACAATGCCAGAACTACCAAACTACCCCATTCTTTGAGTCCTTCTACCGCTTCTTTGGCCATGGCGGACAGTGAGAACTCCGCCAATGAGAACTCACACTCAGACTGGGAAGAAACTGTTACCGAAGAGTCCGAGGCCGATCCATTTGAGCGATGTGCGTTCGATTTTGGGTCATGTTTGCCAGATGTGGTCGCATGTGAACAAGCGCAAAAATCTGCATGAGACCATGATGAGAGCAGGTGATGCATTTGCTCACCTCATCTCACCACTACAATTGCACAACAATATGAGATACAAAATGACATCTATTTCCTGGAGACCAGGTTTGTAAGAGTTGTTAAGCAATTATAGTCATAGTGATGTGTAGCTTTAAACGATGCAACTGCTCCTTCAAAGTTTCAGATGTGCCAGGGCTGTAGATACAAACAACTGATTCGGTGCAGGAATCCACCCAAGATGAACTATTGGATCCTATCGGATCGTAACGTATGAGCCAAGGTCATCACCAGGGAGGGGAGAAAGAAGACAGACACAGAGTATCCTTCGAGTCCTCATTCATTGGATCCCCTCGTCGCCCTGCTGCAGTCCCTGGATTCGGCTTTGGCACACATCGAGCTGGAAGACCACTTGCCTCTCGATTGCACCGGTGTCTCAGCCTTTCCGCCACTAGATTGACCCAAACACCGCCATCCGGAGCAAGAACACAAACATCAATCATGTTTTGACTTCGCTTGGCTGAAGCATTCGCTCACTGCGCACTCCAGGCAGCAAAAGCATGGAGACACAGCATACGTCAGCTGCCTGTGTCAGTGCACATGACCTGATGTGATGCTTATAAGCACATATTCGCATCTAGCGTTGGAAAAATTGCTCCAGCCGCTCCTAGGGAGCTTGTTAGTAGGACCCTGTTGGAACAAGCATGGGTAGGAGCCAATGCTCACACTGGCTGGCAGGCTTCTCAAAGCCGAATATATGAAAGAGAAACTGTACGCACTCCCTCCTAGCCACCGCTGAAGCCAATGGCGACATGGCGTGCCAACTGCGAGCCTTGTGGGTGTTCCACATGGAGTCAGAAGCAGCTTGGTCAGTCGGATTGAATGCGCACTTGCTGACTGGCTTGCATGTCAGGTGAAGGACGAGTAGGTGCAAAAACGAAGCCAGGGCTTTTGATATTTGCCCAAATGACGAGCCAAGACAGTACTGAGTCAAGTATATAACTCATCCTTGGAGGGCGGGGTTTTTGAAGGAACTTAGTGTAAGACTTCTTCATGGATTTGTCCTCCATTACTCAAATGCCCAAACCACCAGCTGTTAATGTCTTTCAGGTCCGTCTACTTACCAGCCGTCGCTTCCCAACGGTGGAGAGAAAGCTGCAACGGCTTCAAGGCCATTCGGTTGAAAGCACAAACAAACCCGAGAGAAGGCCAAGAGACCGTGTGCTTGGAGCAACCTTTTTTGGTGATCGCATTGTTCAACTTGCTGGGAGTTCTTTGGCCGTGCTGATTTATGGATTTTTATGGGCAATCCTACAACACTTGAAGACAGTTCATTCAGGGCTCAATCGCGTGTCCTTCCAGCCAATTGAATGATTTGTTTACAGTAATACTTCGTGAGCTTTATTTGAGGGCTTGCTGTAAGCCACCACTGCTTGACAGGTGACAGCCACGTTCCGCTTCCTTGCGATGAGGACATCAGCCACATTTTTGTCTCTGAGGCCGATCGCACGCGTTGCATCCTGTGAACTTAAGTACAGGATAAAAAGGTGTGCCTCAATAGATGTTTGCTTCATTCCATTGAGGTCCTCGAGGAGCAAGAAGATCACAGCCTTCCGCCAGACTTGCCAGAGCCATTTCACGAGGATGATATCCACACACACACATATATATATATATACATACATCTAGAGAGTTTAAGTTAGAGAGAAAGAGAGAGAAGGGCCCCCAAGTGAAAAAAAGACCATCATGTTCCAGACGATGCTGGGAGGCGCCAGATGACTATCTAATTAGATTCTAATTAGTTATGATTTGTTTAAAATTGGGGAGGTAGGCCGTAGAGGGAGGTAGTAGCTAGGGAGTCGCCAGTAGCTACTTAGGCTACTAGTATGGACCAGGCTAGCTCACGCACTATTCAGTTGGTTTCTAGATTTTAGGGAAACTTAACTTGTGATATGATTATGATTGTTTAGACGCCCTTCAAGACTCTGAAGTTTGATGAACTGTGTCTCGCACAGGACTTTCGCCAGGGCTCCTTCAGCTGGGATCCGGCAGAGGAGACTGGATCCTTGCAGAGCACATTTTAGCAATTTCAGCCTAGTTCTTGGGATGTTTTTGCAACTTTAGGCATTGCAACATGAACAAAGGTTTGAGCCACCCATGCACTGATAACTGATATCCATTGATAGCCACTTGTCGGAAGGAGTCACGGATGGAGAAGCTTTGGCCCATGGGCCCAATGACTGCGTTGATGAGTCCTGGCTGTGTAGTGCCTGTGAGGTGCATTCTTGGTCAGCAAAGTCAAATTTTTGGAGTAAACAGTTGTTGGAGAACAGGTGGTTCGCAAGAGTATGTGTGAATGTTTTTATATAGGAACTTTAAGATGAACAGATGTTCATGTGTTGACTTCAATGATCCCTGTGGTGATACCTCAGGAAGGGCAGGATTTGGCCAGTCGTATTTCTGCACAAGAAAGGCATGGTATTGCAACTGTTTTTGCAGTTGCTGCTCATGCGTTGCTGGCTGTAGAGATTTATAGGAGCATTTGAGACGTTCAATTCCATTGGTAGGATCCCCCGTATAGGCTACTACCTGGTTGCGGCAGTGGCGATTATGGATGGCAAGTGTCGTGGCCGGCTGGTGACCTGGCAGTTTATGGATCAAACCTCTAAAGAATCAAGCTCACAAGCCCCATCTGTCGCTTCAGTAGGACACAACTCGACAGAGACCTCCAACGCACGCTGAGGACAGCGGGAATGACGGCACAGGCCAGGCAGTTTCTTGGCAATTGCTCTAAACTTGATTTTCCCTAAGCTGTGTCCCAGCTGATGCAATACCCAACTGCAGAGATGCAGGTGAAGCGAGACCACGTGCGCTGGACCTGCCCCAGGTTACAGCCGCGTTCGCAGTTCTCGAGGTGGGTGGATGAACGCTTGCCTAAATAGGAGTAGAAAGTTGTCACTAGTAGCTTCTTGTTCCTAGTAGCGATGCCAGGAGCCCCTGGTAGCGTCCTTGCAGATACTATATTCTGACATTTTCCAGCGCTTTGCCGCAACAGTTCTTTTTGCAGGTGATACCAGAGTAGTTGTAGGTGATATTGTCTGTGCACACTGATGACAATGGCAGTTTGCCTAAATACCTGGGAAATGGGGAGTCCTCACGGCATTGTGACGAGCATTGAGCCAGGACATTTGCGATTTCATTCCAGCCAATCTGTCCATCTCTGATGTGGCGGGCATCTCTGAGCTACAGCTGCTGGCCTCAACAGACCAGTCAGGTCTGGAACTATCAAGCTTGGCCTGCCAAGGTACTACATCAGAAGCGCGCTGCCCTTTGGCAGCCCGGTGAACACGAATTTCCACCTGCTCCGCATGGTTCGGACACATGGCCAAGAATATTGATCAAAAGTGCCCATACAACTGTCAAATCGTGGTTTTACACGGCCAATTCAGCAAAAGATACTTGAAAATTAGCATGCTCCTTCCAAGCCCCAAGGCACGGCTTTCCGAACAAGGAAGATGATACAAGCCAGCGAAGCCCTGCGTGGAAGCCATACTTGTACAAAGGGAAGCCAAAATTGACACTGTGCCTTGGTGTTCAGCTGTCATTGCTTGAGTGACAGGTGCAAGCACAACAATGCTACAGCAGGTTTCTGTTGTAATGAAGCCTAGGGAGTTAAGCCAGTCGGCAGCTAGGTCCGTGGTGGAGACGGTGAATTGCACGCTGTATGGGAAGTCAGAGTATGAAGATGAAACTGGGCAGAGTTACTTACTCGTATATATGACGATGCATCATTCCGGATTGGTGGGTGAGGGTGGTTGGCATGTCGCTAGGTTTTTGGACATGACTTCTTGAAGTTGATCACAGGAATGCTTCATCCAGGGCACTGTGTACTGCTGTGCAGACATCGCCGGGGTTCCTGAAGTGCCACTTGACACATCTACAGCGCCATATGCACTAGCAAAGGTCAACATCATAACATCCAAAAAACTCCGGTCTAGAGCCAAGAGTTTGGCAGGATCCCTTTCAACTTTCTGTGCTTGTGTTCGGGGGCGCTGCTAAGGTAGGTACATACCTTGACTTGATGCCTGAGGTGTGTCCCTATCTCCTTCCAACCAACAGCTCCCGGTGGAGATGACTCCTCGCAGGACTGCTGAAAGGGAGAAGACTAGACGACTGGCTGGTTGCAAACATTAGTGGACCTGTTGGATGGCTTGAGGAACACTATAGTTCCATTCCCGACTCTTGGCCTAGGGCTGTGCACATAGGCAAGCACAATTGCAAATCTTGGTGGCTTCATTCTCAGAGCAGATCCGAGGAAATCAGTGTGCATAACTGTTCCTTGGCTGTGGTTTTGTTTCTTGCTTTTGAGTGAAGCTGGAGCAAAGGCAGCGCACTGTCGCCGCAGCCAAAACACAGCTTCATGAACCGTTGGGCTAGCTGCCATTCAAACATGAGAGCCCTTTCTAAGGTGCACACATCATTGGTGGCATCAAGTCTGCAAAGGACCAGAAAGCTGTGGTCAGATGTTTGTTAGGTTGCTTCGTTGTGTGTACTTTAAATCCACTTGTTCGAAGCCGCTACACTCCTCGCAAGTGTTCCTTCAACAAACGGCTTTGTTGTAGAGTGGTGCTGTCCGGAAGTATGAGTGTGTTCAGCGGTGTTCGTTTCGACTATTACTATTATTGGATGTATTTTCGCCCCCCGTAAATTAAGATGCACCTCATGGATGTCTGTTCCTGCAGCTCGTGGTTCTAGCTCTTGTGCCTCGGTGCATGGCCTGCACTCGTTGTGGGCTGTTTTCGAGGAGCGAGAATCACTTGTGTTTGTGCTGCCGTACCATTGGACGGTTGCGCAATCTGCTCCTGAAAGGACAGGAGCAAGAGGCTCTTACAGTACTCCGCATAGCAGCCGGGGCATTGCTGGACTTGGCTAAGCTTGCAGCGCCAGAGTTAGCTGCAGAAAGGGCATCAGCAAATCCTCCTGGTGTGAACTTGGATACTTTGCGACACCTGAGCAGAGAGGGTGTTTGGGCATGATTCGGCAGGAAGTGGAACGGTTTTGTCAACTCAAGGTTCAAGCTGCGGGGGTTGACTGGCAGGCATTCTTCTCTGTCAAGGGCATCGACTATAAGGGCGACGAGGTCAGAGTGGCTCGGTGGATTCGTTGGGAGATGTTGGGAGAACATTTCACCCGCGTTGCCGGAGGAGATAGGTCGTGTCCCACTCCATGAGGTTTGCACTCAGGGTTGTCGGGAGTATGTCCTCTCGTTTGATTCCTACTTGAAGCCACGTGATAAATGGGGAAGCATTAAAGGACCTCGTGTTATGGTTGAAGACGGAGCTTGGGGTGAGCTCTGCACGGGGCTGGTTTCGTCAGGTGTTTGTTGTTTTCTTGAAGAGTATCAGGTTTTCGACACAGGGAGCGGACCGCTCCTGAACGGCCTCTTCGGAGTGTCCAAGGAGGACTGGACACCTCAGGGGGTCGAGATTTGTCGCCTGATTATGAATCTAATACCACTCAACAACATCTGTCAATCACTCGGAGGGGACATTGACACCCTCCCCTCTTGGAGCATGATGACGCCCTTCTTCCTACAGCCTAATGAGACCTCCTGATTTCATCTGAAGATGTGAAGTGTTTCTTTTATACGATGGCTGTACCTGACTGTTGGGTTAAGTTTTTGGCCTTCAACAAGCTTGTTCCTGACGACTGTCTCCCTGATGGCCTCAAAGGACGAAACGTGTATTTGGCCTCTCGGGTGCTGCCCATGGGGTTTTTGAACTCTGTACTCTGTGAGTCTAGCCCAAAACGTGCACCGGAATCTGGTCAAATGGTCTTCACGGAACCCTGCAATGGTTAATACTGCGGAGGCAGAGTTGAGAAAGGATAGGCCTTTTTCAGTTGCCAACCCAACGTGGCGCGTCTACCTCGACAATTACGACTTACTTGAGAAGGCGCAAGCAACCGGAATGGTTGAAGTCGAGGGTACGGTGCCGGAAGGCGTTCTGGTGCTTTCCCTAAGGAGTCCAAGATCAGCAAATACCTCAGCCTTGCGCTAACATTGTGCGGGCAGGTACAGGTGGTACGTGGTGGCTTGGTGTACTTCTCAATGTTCAGGCGGCCTACGCTCGGTTCTCTGAATGCCGTCTGGAGATTCATTGAGTCGTTCAACCCTAGAAGAGACCAGTGGCGGCCCTACCTGAAGACTGCCGCTTGGAGATTCTGCGTTTTGTTAGCTTCTTGCCTTTGATCCGCATGGACTTCAGGCTGAAGATGCATCCTATGGTGACGTGCAGTGATGCATCGGCGACTGGTGGTGGCGTTTGCAGGTCAGATGGGCTCACCCGCCTGGGGAGCCTGGTTGCTCAGGGCGAACCACGGCGGCCCCTGGTTGAACATGGGATTTTGGTCGTAGGGCTGTTCGATGGCATTGGTGCCACTGGGGTCGCAATGGACATGCAAGAAGTGGAGGTCCTGGGTTACATCTCAGTAGAGAAGAACTCGCAGGCGCGGCACGTGGTGGAGGCTCACTACCCCGGAGTGGCGCATGTCGAAGATGTCACGCTGATTTCAGAGGAGATGGTTCGTGAATGGAGCCTCCGGTTCTCTCAGTGCAGTGTGGTGATTTTGGGGGCCGGACCTCCTTGTCAGGGGGCGTCCGGACTCAATGTCGACCGGAAGGGCGCTCTCCGTGATGAGGGGTCTTGTCTTTTTGTCCACGTTTCGCGAGTCCGGGAGCTCCTCCCCAGCTAATTCCCCTGGGCGCAGGTCCATTCCTTGCTGGAGTCGGTGAGCTCTATGGATTCAGGTGACAGGCAGGTTATGTCACAGGACTTTGGCTCGGACCCGGTGCAGATTGACGTTGGTGAAATCTCATGGTGCCACAGACCACGGCTGTATTGGACTACTTGGGACTTGTGTGAAGGACCAGGTGCTACTTCCGACCCCTCAGGTGGCATTCCAGTCTGGCGCCTTGTAGCAGAACAAACACTCGAGGACGTGCTCGAGCCGGGCGACCAAAGTTGAGGCAGGCAAACCCTTCCCTACTTTCACCACGGCAAGGCCATCGGAACATCCAGGTCGAAAACCAGCGGGGCTGGTGCATTGCTCTAGGGATGAACTTGAGCGTTGGCGGTCGGATCGGCACCGCTTCCCTCCGTACCAGTACCAGCAGGTCCATTCGGTCGTGAACAAGAAAGGACACTTGCGTGTCCCAACAACTGGCGAGCGGGAGGTCAGCGCAGAGGCAGTCACTACACCGACGTGCGCCTGACCTTGCTCGGTAACACTTGGAGCGTGCCTGTCGTTGCATGGCTGCTTAACCAACTGTTGGCGAAGTTGGGCATTTCACCTTTGATCCCCAGGACATTGTCAACAAATGTAGAGCAGATGGCAGCACGGCACTCCAGGGGCGGTTAGTCCTCATGCCCATTCGAACTGTTCCCTCTGTCGCCTGTAGTGAAGAGCAGCTCGCCTTCAAGTTGGGCAACCTCACCAGCCTCAAGGGTGAGGACATCCTCATCTCCACGCCAAGCACTCAGCTGGTCAGATACCATCGCTTGTGAGCGTCTGTCCCTTCACGGTTGTGGCGTTGGCGCATTGTTTCTGGTTGGAGGTGGACGCGGGGTCGCGAACACAATAACGCGCTGGAGCTCCGAGCAATCCTCAACGCAATCCGCTGGAACAACATCATCATGGGATGCGTATGTTGCACCTGACCGACTCGTTGGTTTGTTTGCATGCCCTCACTCGAGGGAGGACCAGCTCTAAGAAACTGCGGAGCACCATGTCTCGGATCAACTCATTACTGCTATGTTCCAACTCTCAAGTCCTGTGGGGATACGTGCATACGGATAGCAACCCTGCTGACAAGCCAAGTCGGTGGGGTACGCGCCTACGCACAAAGCAGAAACATGCCTTATAAGCGTGTACTAGAGGGTGGAACACAGCAGGATAGAGCAAAGATCCGAAAACAATTGGGAACACTCCGGCAGCTAACTGTGCAACCCGCGACCCGTAAACGCTATGACGGGGCCGTGGACCAGTTCCTTTCGTTCCTCCACCGTGAAGGTCTTCAATTGCCCACCAACAAAGCCAAGCTTGACCCTTTAGTCTGCGACTACCTGGAGCACCTTTGGGCCACCGGCCAAGGGCGAGGACTGGCATGTGACACTTTGGCTGGATTACAGGACCTACAACCAGGACTTAGCAGCCATGCCGGCAGCCTGGAGGCTCCTGAAGACATGGCAAACAAACGAGATTCCAAACCGGGCTCCGCCCCTGCCCGAGCATCTGGTTCATGCCATGGCAGGTTGGGCCATTTTTAAAGGTTGGATCTCCTTTGCGGTACTTTTAAGATTTTACACCATGTTGGGGACCGGACTTGGCACTGGGACCGGACAAGCACTTGTGAACCTTGGGTTCACCAAAGGTGGCAAACGGCACGGAGCTGCCGAGAGTGTGGTCCTTGGTTATGAGCCAGTGGTCAAAGTTTTAAAGGCTTGGAAAAATGCCTGTTCACCTAGTACTCGGCTGACACCTCCCCCCCACAAAATGGCGGTGCCTTGAAGGCCTCCAAATTCAGGAACTTGGGTTTCGACCCTACTCCCTCCGGAGACGTTTTGGTTTCAAAAGCACCAAAACCTCGATAGAATTTTGCTACAGGGTAGGTGGCACACCCAGAAAAGTGCCCGCATTTACCTGAATGAAGGTTTGGCCGTTTTGAGCCAACTTAAACTTCCTGTCTCTGATGCACGGATACGTCCCTTTTTAACTGTTTGTCGTAGTTTTTTCAGTCAGCCACGAATCACTTCACTTGAGCCTCCTGCCAAAGGCGGAAGAGCAGGGGGGGCTTGGAAAGCACCCAAAGCGATCCAGGAAAGGCAAGGGAAAAAGCGCTTTTCGATTCTCCTATTTTTTGACACCCACTGTCAGTGCTTGATGCCTACTCAGTCTCGGAGGTGTGGCTCGGCTAAAGTAGGTCAAGCAAAGCAGTACCTACCACCCAAAGAGTGGCCGGGTGGCTAGGATCACTGGTGGGGTTACCGTGATCTGACGAGCGACACGATCTGTCACTGCATCACCAAAGTAGGCAGAAGAGAGCACGGCAAATGGGTTAGCATTTTTCTTTGAGAATCTGGGAACCCAAAATGAGTAAATCTTACAAAAACCATTGAAAATCCTAGAAATCCAGCGGAAAACGTTACAAAATCTAGGAAAAACCAAGGGCACTGGCAGGGACCAGGCCGCAACCAGGCCGGAATTCGAGCCCGGGACCATTTAATTTAGGGACCGTGCTTATTTTCCCGCGCGGGTGGAGAGGGTGCCCCAAGATGTAAATCAATTGGGATGGAGAAATCTTGAACAATTTTTGGCTACTTTTCGTCACTCCAACAAAGCTCCGGAGGGGTAGGGGAGGTATAGCCTTAATCATAGCCTTAGCCTTAATCAACAGTCACGCCTGACCCCATGAGTGGGGTCGGCGGATTAGTAGCTTCTTGTTACTAGTAGTAACAAAGGCATCGCTGTTAGTAGCTTCTTGTTACTAGTAGTAATGCCCTTGTTACTAGTAGCGATGGCCTCCAACCTAATAGCGATGGCATCCACCCTAGTAGCTTCTTGTTACTATTAGTGATGCCGTTGATACTAGTAGCGATGCACTTGCTACTAGTGGCTTCTTGTTACTTGTGCATAAGAAACCTGCTCTTGCAATGACCAGACGCTCCAGAGAACACTTAAAGACTCGAGGAGGACTCGCTCAAGATCTCGTGCCTTCCGCCAACGGGGCCCTTTGTGCTCTGCAGATACAACTTCCGCCAAAGCCCCATCACTCCTGTGCGTGGTCCCTTAGCTCAAGACATTTATGAGTCCATGGGTGCATTTCAGGTTCTGTGAAGAGATTTGGCGCTAGAACATCCTAAAACTGTTACTGTTGCTGTTGTACAGCAAAGGAGGTTCTTGCTTCAGGTTTCTATCAGCTCAAGGAGCTCTCTCCAGTCGAGTTCCGTCTCCTCCTGCAGGCTTTGGGTTTCAAGAGGTTGCTTGCAAAGATGTTACCCTGAAGGACAAGGTTGATTCTAAAACTCTTGTTTGGCAGCAAAAGATGATCCGCATGGAGCAGGTTCAGCTGCACCCACAAGTCCTTTCTGCGAGCAGTGGTTCTTGGAATTGTCAAGTGAGGTGCACTGCTGTGCCGGAGAAGCTGTTGCGTTTCTCAGCCTATGCAAATAGAGGACCATAAAGCAAGGTGTCTTAAAAGTATTAGGGAAGCGCTTGGTGATTGGTCACCTCCTGTCATTGTTAACGCTGATAGGGAGTCGCAAAGACAAACCTATGGAAGGAAAGGTGTGCTCAGTACACTTCTAAAACTCATCTAAATTGGGAATAGCAATAGTGGGAATAGCGATAGTGGTGCCTCTTCCGATGTGTTCCCTGGTCACCACGTGACTTTCCACACTGCGTTTAGTCACTTTGTCCTTTGACTGTTTGCTTCACAACGTTTCGCAGGTTGCCTTTCGATCATCGAGGAGTCATCCGCTCGCACGACCTCAAGTGTACCAGTGGAAGCTTCTCCTTGGCGGTTTCCCAGCAAGCATTGAGCGGGGCAAAAGGGCCATACATGCCCACTTCAGAGGATGGTTGCTGGAGTTTCCAAAGATGATGTTCCTTTCCAATGGGACATTCTCTTTTGCATAATCAGGATCACAGCCGCAGCATAGTCTGGAACCTCAACGTGCGTCGACCACGAGGCACCAAGGGCAGACCCTGAAGTTGTTGAGAGAATGACAAGGACTGATGAGCACTGACCCTTAACTCCAGAGGCTCTTTGGAGGCGAATCTCCTGGGTGAGCTCATTTTCGAGGCCCCACAAAAGCCACATGAGCAGCAGAGTCTTGGATGATAAGAGCGGGGCTTCACTTACGTGTTTGGAGATCTGCGTCCTACAGCCACATTGAGTCACCTGTCATGCCGGCAAAGTCGTGCATGTCGATCAGGATCAAACGCGACCAGCAACCCTTGCAGCAGAAGCCCGCACCAAATCCGCAGCCGCAGCAACCACAACAAGCACCATCTCAGCCACCATCTCAGCAACTTGGCAGATTTATGGCGGGGCCTCATTGTTCCAAGGACTGGTGCCAAGGGCTCGACACGGAAAAAGATCGTAGGTTGTGCTGAACAACCCCAAAACTTGAAACAAGTCGTACAAAACATTACAAAACCATACTGTGCTTAGATATATAACTAGACATGGCACATGCAAGAGCATGTCATGGCTACAAAAAGGGCGATCATAAACATGTTTGCATTTGTCCTCCTCCGACAGTGCCACCTAGGCCAGCACCATCACCTCAAGCAGAGACAGTGCCAGAGGCCCCCTACTTGATGCAGGAAGTCAGGTGTCAGGTGGATCCTAATCAAGTATCTAATTGTTTGTCAATGTTTGTCATAGCAGGATGTGGAATGCAGACAGTCAAGCAGTGCGCAGTGCAATTGTATATATGTTGCATTCTCCGAACGATGCCCGTTTTCAAACGAGATCAGTATACATGTACATCAGTTGTGGGCCAGGATAGTCCAGCACCAACGGCACAACCTGAGACCTGGCATAAGCTGAATGGAGTTGTTCTGTCAAAACAGAACTTGGGTGAAATGGACATACCACACATCTTGACCGTGACACCTCTCCACCGCTTCAGAACACCTTTCAAGATCTTTCCCTCGTCGCTTTCAGGAAGAGCCGCCTTCGGGTGAAGAGCTTGAAGCTCCCGAGACGGGACCGGGTGAAAAGCGACAGTGACTGGTGCTTGTTGAGTCTGGTTTACTGATGCTTGATGCCGACAGTTCTCGACAGTTGGTTGATTGAAGAGTCTAAAGAGTGAGTTGATTTTCAGATGACAAACATGACAAGCTGTCCTCAGGAGTATCGCCTGAGGGGGATGTTTTTGCATCACGTTCAGGTGTAGACATGTCGCCTGGCAACAATGAAAGGAGGTTCAAGAGCTGCTCGTACTAGACTCACTAACATGAAAGTGGAAACAATCCTGTTCGTAAGAAGATGTAAGAAGATAGTCATCCAAGGGTCCATGTTCCACTTCCATGTATTTGGATGCATTTGGTTCTTGTAATACTTACCCGTGTGCTGGATAAGGCTCCTGAACGCTGCTGGTGGTGGGGCGCATGCTGGCAGGGACGGACTTTCCTCGGCACAAGCCATAGTGTCTCGCCATCATGTCAAGTCACTGGGAGAGAGAGAGAGAGAGAGACAGAAGAGTTCTTCCAAGGTTTTAGTTGGAGAATCGAGATGCCACTCAGGATTTAGAACAGGACATGTTGGACAGCGCTCTCCCTGGCATCGGCTCAGATGCATCTTGGAAATGATCAGAGGATCTCCAGTGCATGGATTTACTGGAACTGATGTCCTTCATTGTCACAGTACATCACTGTTTGTGCATAGTGTCATAGTGTTACACTCTTACGGGCCATCCCTTGTTCTGAAAGATCCCAACAGTTTGACAGCGGGCTGCTCTCAGACAAGAAAGAAGAGTCGTAAATGCACGTAGCAATGGAAGAGGGTCAATGAATATGGGGTATGGCAACTATCCAAGCTCCAAATCAATCCTGCCCGCATTTTGGCCAGAACTGGTCGGCGTCAGATCATCGCAGCTCAGGACAGACATGGTGAAAGCCCGGGAGCTGCCCAGCAAGGTGGGTGCAACATCAAGCACCACTTCCAACACATGTGAGAGATTGCATGTCATGGTTCCTACGCATCATCTCATCTCATGGTTCCATATGGTTCCTACAATAGAACCTCACAGGACCGGTCCCAAGCGCTGCACATCACCTATTGCGTGGAGGCCGGGTCTTCGTTTTGGGCGCATTGACTTGAAACTGGCTTCTTAGTGACCGCCAAATAGAAAGAACACCAAGCCCCTTCTTAAAGTGTATTGGCTGGCATTTCTATTGGTTGGCGGACCGTTATAGGATGCCGAAAGCACTGGCTTGAAAGTGTATTGGCTGGCATTTCTATTGGTTGGCGGACCGTTATAGGATGCCGAAAGCACTGGCTTGAAGCTGGTTTGGAAGCATTTGACATTTGGAGCCCGACCAGGCCATGACGGTGAGGAGGACCAGGCAAGGAGAATCAACCTAGCAGGTGTTCTAAGCTACTAGTAGCAAAAGGGCATCGCTACTAGTAACAAGAAGCTACTAGGGGCTCCTGGCCTTACTACTAGTAACAAGAAGCTACTAGTAGCAAAGGGCCTGCCTCTTTTGTTTGCTGCCACACCATGGTGGCAGGTGGATTTGGCAGCCACGAGCTTGGTAATCGCCGCTGTGGGAGCCCCTGCTCGTGCTGCCCTCACACCAGTGGGCAACAGCACACAAGGCCTTGTAGTGGGGATGAAGCATGTTTCTCCTATGACACCCACTGAAAACCTATGATTCAGACTCACAAGGCACTTGCAAATGTTAGTCCTATTCCTCATGCTTAGTATCGGCACAGCCGTCCACAAGATGATGCAGGCGCAGCCACAACGGTCACTACTACGTCAGTGCCTAGCACCACAGCGGTGCAAGCAGTATTGCTCTGAGAAATTGGATGAGTTGTGGTCACTGCACACCTTGCAAGCATCAAGACAAAGATAAAGATAAGGGAAGGGCAACTTTAACAAGACCACTCTAAAGTGGGCCTTATTAAAGTAGCCTTCCCTGCCTTTGTTCTTCGCTTTTAACATCTTCTCCAGTCATACCTTGAGGTGCCTTCGGATCCTTTCTTAATGGGTGTGAACTGCTATGCCGAAGTCTTCCTTGAGGTGCAGGATGTGGCCCTCTCCGGGGTCAACATTGATCCCAAAGCCGTCACGGTTTATCCCACAACCCGTGTTTATGGGGGCGTGGCTGTGCAGAAGGAGTTCCTCACAGGGAAGTATCTTGGTGCTGCAAAGTTGTTTGCTTCCCACAACCCAACGTGTGGGGCACGGTAGCAGATAGGGGCCGCGGTCGCTTGGGGTGAGCTATAGCCCTAGTAGCGTCCTTGCTCCTAGTAGCGATGCCAGGAGCCCCCAGTAGCATTCTAGCTACTAGCCACCAAGGTACATCATTTGGAACATGGCAGGCGAGGTGCGGGGCCACTACAATGGCCTCGAGTTCGATTCCCTCAAGGGTGACGTGAACGAGCGTCATAGCGCACAGCGCTGTTTGGAGGCCAAAGTGCCTCCAAACGGATAGCAACGGCTGTCCTTAGAGAAACAGACCAGAAGGATCCAGAAGGTTTGAAGTGAAAGAAGGATCAAAAGTAGATTCAGAGCGTGCAACCGGACTGGAGCTTAGGTCTCCACATTTGGCTTGTCCAATCTCACACCTTGCATCTTGGCGTCAGTGTTCTGTACTTGATCCATCATCAATTACAGCCTTTCGATGCCTTTCGTGAATACATTTCAAAGCGCCGCTGCCAAGATAATGGAGCTGCCCATGGTCACACCCAGCGGGCACAGCTATGACTTCCGCTCCATCGCCCTGCCCTAAATTGGTCACTGCCAGATGATGTGATTGCAAGTGGGTTGCAAGTATGTATGGCCTTGCTTGTGCTGCAAATCTCAACACCACCCCAGATCACCCCAGCAGCCGCATGCACCCCATCAAGATACTTGTGAAGGTATGTGAAGGTTGCAAATTAGCTGGATGATCATATGTTGAATGCATGGCAATCGTTGCATTAACTCTGTTCATGAGCGGACATGACTACCTAGACCGAGTGGCTTGCACGACGCTCCGTGGATCCTTTGACATTAGCACCGTCGGCATCCTAAATGAGTTGACAGAACAGAGTTTGGTAGCTAAAGATGTTTTAGGTAGAGCGTGGCCAACCCAGCTCAGGTTGTCTACCGAAGAGCTCTATCCAAACAGAGTACTCCAGGCACCTTGACTGCACCGAACCAATTCAGGTAAATCATTATTGTAAATTATACCAGTTCCCAACGGCGCGACCATTATAAGAGTTCGGGATGTTCAGCTGCAAGATATTTCTATCATCCCATCGTCCCCAGAATCACATCCGGTGCAGGATGAAATCTTGGAGCAGGTCGAACTTCTGGCCAACAAAGCAGAGCAGGACGGAGATTTGGAGTGCCTCATCTTAACGTGAATGCCACAGACGCCCGTGAGTCCCATGTGGCCCATGTAGATAAGTGCATATAAGCAACATATAAGTGCTCTTCAGGCTCTTCAGCCTTAGAATCCACTAGCCAATCGAGTTCAAAGACTGTCAATTCGCTGAGGCTTTCAGAGGCTGCACGGACAAAGCTGACACATGTGCGGGCGGCGAGCTT